CCACAAAAAAAAAAAACCCAACAGAGACAATACTATAAGCGCATCAAGGTCAATAATAAGGTTCTCGACCAACCATGAGAAGTGGAAGAAATCATCATATCCTTCTTCAAAACCCTCTTCACAGCCCCTGCTGGCCCAAGACCCAAAATGGCCGACCTCTCTTTCCTCTCTCTCCCACATCTGGTTGGCTGGCTAGAATGCCCTTTCTTGAAAGATTAAATTCTCTTCCCTATCACAAAACTTGGCCAAGATCACGCCCCGGGACCGGATGGCTTCCCTGTGGCACCCTTCAAGACCTTCTAGAGCACTTTCAGGAATGATTTCCTCTTTTTCTTTTTTTTGAAGAGTTCCATAATAGAGGTATCATTCATAAAACTATGGATGCTACTTTTATTGATCCCCAAAATAGAACAGGTCAAAGAGCTCAAGGACTTTCGTCCCACCAGTCTCATAATTCCAGCTACAAGATTCTCTCTAAAGTTTTAGCCTCCCGCCTTAAGGAGGCCTTCTCTACATCATCTTCCACTAGCAAGGTGCCTTCGTCAAAGACCACCAGATCCTCGATGGGGTCCTTGAATATGAGTGCATCCTCTCCAAACAACTAGCTCAACAACCAGGTATTATCTTTAAAATCAACTGGGAAAACGCCTATGACCATGTTGATTGGGGCATCTTGGACGATACCCTTTCTCGGATGTGGTTTGGCGACCGATGGAGAACATGGATGAAAGGTTGTTATTCACAGCCTCACATTTCCATCCTCGTCAATGGATCATCCAAGGACTATTTCCCGACCTCTTAGGGCCTCACACAGGGTGACCCTCTCATCCTCCTTGTTTGCAATTTTTGTCGAGGTCTTCAGTCAATCTATCTCCCCCATGAACCAATCTGGCCACCTTAATGGATTCAAGAGTAGTCCCCAGGGCCCTGTCATCACCCACTTGCAATATGCCGACAATACCCTCGTTTTCGTCGGTGCATCGCCCCAGGAACTTGAATCCTCCATTTGTTCCTCAAATGCTTCTAAATTGCCAAGTTTTAAAGGTAATAGGGCCAAATCAAAAATGATTGGCGTGGCTATGAACTCGTAAGAAACACTCTCCCTTGCCTCCAGTTGGGATTGTCAGGTAGAGGACTTACACACTAACTACTTGGGTATGCCTCCTGGCCTCGGCAAAGCTAAGAAAAAACAATTGTCCCACATCATTGACAAAGTTGACCGTCGGCTCGCAGGATGGAAAGGTCGTTTTCTTTCTTTAGCCAGTAAAATAACCCTCATCAAGGCCACTTTATCCAATACCCCCGTTTACCTTATATCCTTGTTTCATATGCCAACAGTCTCTACTCATCTGGAACAGTCAATGAGCAAATTCCCTTGGGCAGGTAACTCTAGCACGAGGAACTACCACCTCATCTCTTGGGATAATTCTGCTAGCCCAAACAGTTAGGGGACCTTGGTATTCGGTAATTAAGAAAACAAAATATGGCCCTGCTGGGACCTATTCCCATCTCTCCTCTCTATCCTCAAATCAAAGCTCCACAATAGCAGAAGAAATGCCCCTCACAGGCCACTTAAAAGTTTTGAACCCGTCTTTCAGAAGACCCCTCTCCGATCCTGAAACTACCGATTTCATTAACCTTTCTACCCTTCACTCGACCTACCCTGCCCCTAGTGGCTTGGACCTACCCTGCCCCTCAAGATCCTTTTGTGTATCCTCCTCCTACAAGAAGCTGCTCGTGCCACCTACTTTCACCCTCTCACTGACCTCAATCGTCACCCAAGTTTGGTCTTCCATTGCCCCTCCAAAAGTCCAAGCTTTCATTTGGATCGCCCTCTCCGAAAAGGCCCTAACAGTCGACCATCTACAACGAAGAGGCCTCCCAATCCCCAGTAGGTGCATCACATGCCTAGCCGCTGGAGAAAGCAACCCCCATCTCTTCCTCCACTGCCAAATGGCCCAGAAACTTTGGGGAGCTTAAATAGCTTCCCACTACGGCCTCTACAGTCTGACACATGCTAACCCTTGGCCCAAAGCCGGTAGAATGATGCGGCAGGCCTTAGTAGCAGCCACTGTATGGGCCATCTGGACCAAAGGAAATTCTAAAATCTTTAAGGGCATTAAGTGTCCAAGGTCGGTACTCTTTAATAAGATCACATCTGCAACCAACCACAAGAGGTTCAAGGGCTACCCCTCCTCAACCTCCCTCCTTAATTGGCAAACCATGCTCCACTCCCGCCTTCCGAGCCTCTCTCGGGCTCGCCAATGGACACCATTCCCCTAGGTCCAGTTGGGATTGGAGTTGTTTTTCAAAATCGTAGGAGGAAAATTTTCAGTATGTTATCAGTAACGAGTGACACCAAAGAAGCCGAAACCAGGGCTCTACTTACTAGTTTGAGATTTATAAAAAACCCGTACTTGGACCTCTCATTGAAGGAGATTCCAAAACATTGTAAGATGGGCTCAGACCCCCCAAACTTCCCTTGGACTTCAAGAATTTTTTTTTTTTTTGAGTAAAGTTAACTTTAGAGTTCCAGAAATATTCCTTAAATGCAAAGCATATTATTGAACCCAAATGTGACCATTCAACACACTTGGCTAGAATGGAAACATATCACAAAACATACGACCCAAAGAGTACCCTCGGAAGTAGCTTGTTCATAGCTCCAATTAGGTAAGTTGAGTTGTTCCTAACTTTGTACACAGAAATTTCTCTTGTCCAACGTACCTTTTTTCATTAATTTCGTAATATTTGATCAATAAATAGTTGTTGGAAACAGGCGCAGGAGCTGGAGCGCGGATCATCCATTGCTAGATGCTCCCCAGTATGGAGCAGCCATATAATAAATACAAATAAATATTACAAATATAGGAAATATTGTGAAGCAAGAAAATACATGAAACTGATTTTTCGATACACAAATAAAACCACAGAAACTGAAAAACGTTAGTACAAAGTTATTAGCAAAAATAATGAAACAACATTGACACTTTCGATAAAAAATCTACGTCTATTCTTCCTATTGTAGATAAAAACATCTTCTACATATTAAAAATAATTAGAGAGAGAGAGATTAAATATGCACTATTTTGCCTCTACTCGTTCTTTGTCCATTTTTTTATTGCCTACATGGAAGAAGGGTCTAATAAAATTTCATTTGCCTCTATTTTTTTATTTTTCGGTTTAATCAAAATGCATAGAGTGCTACCATATGGAAGACAGATACAATAATAGTTACATCAATACGACCAAATCCTTCTACTGAACTACCTTAGGTTTCTCATCATTTACTTGAGAATGTAAGAAGGTACCATTTTAACCATCAACAGTTATTTTCTTCATTTCCAAATTTGTACTCACTTGTATAATATCTTTTTGGAAAAGGACAGGTTGATAATTCTATCATCTATGAAATCCTTGAGTGTACAAAAGCCACACCATGTGTCAGATCATCTAGGACTCTTAATTATTTAACTGAGAATGTATCAAAGTACCATTTAACCCATTACCAGTCTTTTCTTTTTCCGAATTCGTACTCCCCAACATATTCAACATCTTTGGATAAGAACAAATAGTAATTTTCTCACCCATAAGAAGTCCTCGTGTACAAAAGCCATACATTGTGTCAATGAACATCATTAATGCCCAAATGTCAAAACACATCATTAATGCCCGGACACTTGTAAACAGCAAAACTAATAACTGGACAGTGTGTAGTCATTATTGGTATTGTGCCCTTACATTATTTTTGTATTACCTGAAGTACCATAGTCTATACTTCATTCAAGGTAGAGATTGTTTCTCTGTAATTGACGGCAACATAGTAATTATTTCCATGTGTTGACAGTCATAAGACAGCAACATTACTGTCTACATAGTGCATAATGTAATTACTATTTTTCGTTTAATAATACCTAAAGTATCATTGATTGTATTCAGTACAAGGCTTTTATTTATAACTAAGAGCAACAGTAATTCTATTATGATAGTGTTCCCGAGACCAATGGAAGAGTATTCTCCTTTTCAAAAAACACGATCCGCCCACAATCCTCTCTCCAGAACGAGGTGATCAAGATTACTGGGCGGAAGGGGCACATTGGACCGGCAATCCAGTAACTATGAATTAATTATTTATCAAAAACATATGCCTAGCACATGAGAGAAATTAGTCCAGTGATGAGTTCCCAGCCAAAATTAAAAATATATATATTTTTTAGGACATTCTAGACATCTTTTTGTTTATCCATTAATGTACTTTCAAAATGAGCAAAGTTTAATTTGAATTGGTGTTCACAAGAACAAGTCTTTCCATCCACCCCCAAAAGAATGCAAGTAAACCATATTTATTGGCACGAATGTTAAAAAAGAGAACTTCATTTACATCCTTTACTTTCTTAAAAGTTAAAATGCCTAAGTTCTTTTGATGAGGCTGCTGCATTGGGCACTTTTATTCTGCTCATTTGACAAGTACATACTAGTTTTCCCTGACATAGAGAGAACATTACAGATGCCGCTTTTTCCCCCTAACATTTTATATGGGATACTAATTATTGTCACTAATAGTGTACAAATTATGTTGCATGCATACTCTTTTACTATTTGAGTTTGTGCTTCTGCATCTTCATGTATGATAACACCCCTCTACATTAATTTTCTGCTCAAATTAAATATGATTCTATCCAATAAGTTAAATGTCAGAGCCTATCATGCTACTTCACCAGTTAGATCTTAAATGTAAATCAAACTTTTCATATATACAACAAGAGCCGGAATCTCAGAAGCCACAAAAATAACATGTTAAAGGCTAATGTTTCAAACAATAGAGAAGGATAGTGGCCAAGCCATGAAGACAAAATCAATGACATCCGCTTTCATGCATAGCTGTTAATGATGAATATCACGAACAGACAAAATCCAAAGAAGAAAACATGGCAATATCTCATTCATCTTTCTTGCAATTCAAAGCAAAGCTACAAGAGGGAGTTAAAGCATTGTCTTACTTTCCATATATTTGTATCAAGGTCTACCTCATGCTTTCCTGACATGTCAATAGCATCCACACTTAAAACTGCACCAAAAAATCTACTGTCAATGTCTAAAAATTGTCAGAATGCAAAACTTAAAAAAAGGAAATCAAGAAAGTATAAAAGATATATGACCACCAAATGAAATGTTTCAGTTAAAAAAGGAAGTAACGAAGTAAGATACAAACCCTCGCAAGGTAGTGCAGGAAATGTCATATTTATATGGATTGGAAGGGTTTCCCCACGCTTCAAATCTACAGACATCTGTCTATCATATACATGAGACCAAAACACAACCAGAATAGTTAGTCTGACTTACAAAAGCAAATATATGCTACAAAACTGAGTTTGTAAGTTAAGATTATTAAATACCACAGTGTAAAAGAGAAAAAGGTGAAGTCCTCAAATAAAGATAAAAGTGCGAAAGGGAGGTAGGGTGTTATTTGGTTCGGACCTGGTGCACAGTGTAAGTTGCAAGATAGTATTTCAACTCATGCACAAATAGTGTAGCCATTATGACAAGCCCCATGATCGAGACTGAAACAAAACGAAATAAAAGAAAGAATTTTAGTACAATCAGAAGAGCTCAACTCAATAGACGGCTCCTACTAAAATATTATATTCATCTTCATTAATCTAGGAGGTCTCCAAGACCTACAACTGCAAGCATGTATATGTCATTGTGAGGCCCGTTTGCATATACACATTAAACAATCTGAGAATGTAATTCTTATGGAAAGAAATGAAACACAGACAACAAACAGAAATTTCATGCGCGATAATGTCATAATAATAAAGCAATAAAGTCTTCTCCTTCTTTCCTTACTCCACTTTGATCACATGACTCATAAGTTTTCACTTAACTTCTACTTAGAATGAATCACTACAATTACAATTAGAAAAATTTAGACATGTTAATTACTATTATCTTGCTATTTAGTTATAACTGATGACTAACTCTTAATGAATATGTTATGTACAGTACATCTTATTTTGAAATTCCAAAACCAAAAAGCTTGTCTTTGAAACTAAAACCAAAATATTTTAACCATAAGTTCAAATATTACGCCTCACTCTTGGAAGACAAAAATCTTAAAGCCCTTTTTTTTTTTGATAAAGTTAACATTGTATTGCTAAGAAGTGTTAGATTACAGAGGAATGGTGATCCGAGAGCACCCTCAAGGCGGGTCTCTCAATAAAAAATGGGTCAACCAACCATGTACAAAAAATGGGCTTATAGAACCTGCCCGATTATGATGATTTACAAGAAGTTCTAAAAAAACTGGGCTTATAGATTTGCATGAATACAAAAGAAGTTCTATGTTGTGTGCCTGTGGTCCAGAGCAAAAAAGAAGGTGGACCGGGCGTGATCTTCTACTTGGGTTCTAGCCCCATCTTTCGCCATGAGATCGGCGAGTTCGTTGGACGTCCTCCAGGTATGCTTCCATGAGACGTCTGTATCCCTGCAAATGTGAGCAATTTCATCAAAAATCGAAGCTAAGTACCATGGAGGTGGTGTCGTCCCGGTTGCCCAAGAAATAATATTTTGTGCGTCTCATTCCACTAACAGGTGTGGTCCCCAGGACCCAGTAGTAGGGCTATGCCTTCAGCGTAATGAGAATCTTTATGGCCTATGTGCTCAAAGTAGGTAAAGAAGATATTGCGATGATGATCTCTAAAGATACCCCCAGTGCCTGCCGGGCCAGGGTTCCCTAAGGACCATCCATCAAAATTGAGCTTAATGGCACCTTCTGATGGTGGCAGCCAGTTGTTTGGTCTTTGAGCCTTTCGTGGTTGGTAGTTGAGAACGTTTTCCCATTGGCTGACGAAGGAGTTCCCTGATATGCCCGAGAACACCTTGTGGTTTGAGGCCCAGAAAGTTGCTAACGAAGTAACCTTGCGAAATAGTGCTGATATTTGAAGTTTGTGGCCTTGAAAAATTATGGTATTTCTTTCTACCCAGATTACCCATATGGTAGCAACTAAGGTAGCCTTCCACTTCCAACCTTCCGCCAGTGTGACGCATGATCTGAAGAAATCAGGGCCTTTACCGTTGGAGGTGTGACCCATTGGATACAAAACAGTTGCAATACTTGGCTCCAAAGGTTGTGAGTAAATTTGCAGAGGATAAATAGGTGGGGATTGGATTCATCCTCGCTTAAGCACATGACACATCTATTGGGGATTGAAATTCCTCTCTTTTGAAGTTGGTCCACTGTGAGTGGCTCATTGAGAACAGGCAATTCAATTGAAAGTTTGAACTTTGGGTGAGGCGATGGTGGACCAGACTTTTGATAGTACCGAGGTAGGATTAAGAGGAAAGGTGGGGGGTTGGAATAGCCTTTAATAAAAGGAGGCTACCGTGAAGATACCTAGAGAGGCTAGAGTCCATACCATAGCGTCCTTCCCTTGTGTTGAAATGAAGATTGAATGTAAGACTGCCGAAAGCAATTGGAAGTGATTGGTTTTCTCTTCCGAGAGGTTTCATTTGAAAGAGGGGTTCCAGATTCTTTGGCCTCCTGACAATACCATTTCCTCTGCGATGGTAGTCTTGAGGCAAGTAAGTAAAAGGCTGGAAAACGATCGCTAAGGGGGGTGTGTCCTAGCCATAGATTTGACTAGAAGCACACTCTAGTACCTTCTCTTGGATTGAATCTGAGGTACTTTTTGAATTATGAGAGGGAAGAGAAGGATTTCCACGCTCCTTAGGCTCTATTGAACTGTCTCCTTTCAGGCACCCAAGCTCCTTCTGGGATCCTGTATTTTTTACGCAAAACCTGCGCCCAAAGAGAGTCTGGCTAAGTGGCTAGTCGCCATCACCATTTCCCTAGGAGTGCCAAATTGTGTTTTCTAAGGATCCTAATCCCTAGTCCTCTCTGGTGTTTGGGTAAGCATATCTTATCCCACGATATAAGGTGAAATTTGGTCCTTTCCGCCTGCCCTGACCAAAGGAAGTTTCTCATAAGCTGATCCAGATGATTGGCCACCGAAGATGGCATGTGGAAGAGGGACATGAGGTATACCAAAGAATTTGCCAGGATTGCTTTGATCAAAGTGACTCTACCTTCCATAGAGAGGTATCTTCCTTTCCACCCTGCCAAACGCCTATCAACCTTGTCTATCACATGGGACCATTGTCTCTTTTTAGGTTTCCCCAATCCCAACGGTAGACCTAAGTAGGTTGTGAGGAGTTCCTCCACTTTGCATTCCCAATTAGGGATGAACGCTCTGATTTCTGCATTCATTAGTGCAACTCCCATCATTTTAGATTTTTCCATATTGACTTTGAACCCTGTAGCTACTTGAAAGCAATTTAGATAAAGCTTCAAAGTATCAACTTCTCTTGAAGAGGCGTCAAGAAACACTAAGGTGTCATCTGCATATTGCAAGTGAGACACTGTTGGGCCATGGGGGCTGCTCTTGAATCCAGAGAGAAGACCTTCCTAGTAAAGGCGGCAGATCGAGCGGCTGAAGACTTCTTCTGTGATGGTGAACAAAAATGGGGAGAGAGGGTCCCCTTGACGTAGTCCCCTCGAGGATGGGAAAAATCCTTTTGGAGTTCCATTGATGAGGATCGCAAAATGAGGATGAGAGTAGCAACCTCTCATCTACTTCCTCCAACAGTCCAGAAAGCCCATTCTTGCCATTGACTCCTCCAGAATCGACTAGCCAACGTGGTCATACGCTTTCTCCCAATCAATTTTGAAGATTAGGCCTAGCTTTGGAAAAGTGCCTCGAGTGGATGCACTCGTGAGCTACTAAGGCCCCATCTAAGATCTGCCTATCTTTGATGAAGGCAGTCTAAGATGGTGAGATGATTAAAGGGAGGACTTGTTGTAGCCTTGAAGCCAGGACTTTGTCCAGAATTTTGTAAGAAGAGATAAGCAGGCTGATCGGGCGAAAGTCCTTGAGATCCTCCGCCCCTTCAACTTTGGGGACAAAGGCTATGAAGGTGACATTGATAGCTTTGTGAAGAATTCCCTGATGGAAGAATTCCTCAAAAAACCTAGTGAAATCAGAACGGAAAGTATTCTAGAAGAATTTAAAAGGTGCTATCGAAAATTTGTCTGGTTCGGGGGCTTTATCTTTGGCTAAGTCATCGATAGCTTTAAAATTTCTTCTTCAGAGAAAGGTTGCTCTAGCCAAATTGCCCGATCTTCCGAGAGGGTGCAGAAATCAAGAGTCATCATTCTCGGTCTTGGGTCAGATGGAGCTGCATAGAGTGTCTGAAAGAACTCTAGAATTGCCAACTCGATTTCTTCTGTTGTACGAGGTAGCAGTTATTAGATATGATAATCGAGATAGTATTGTCTCTTCTGCGACAATTAGCTATCCGGTGGAAGAAGGCTGTATTATGGTCCTCAACTTTCATCCAGTTAACTCTTGATCTCTGAAACCAGTAAAGTTCTTTTTTGAGGGTTGAGACTTGATAGGTATTCCAATTTAGTTTTTGTTCTAAGATCGAGCACAATGTCAATCAAGGTTTTTGAGGGAAGCTTTGAGAGTAGTTGTCGGGGATGGAACTACTCTAGGTTTTGAGGGAGACTTTGAGAAGTTGGATATTGGTCTAGAGCCTATAGCGTGCTCTACCCGAGACCTGGGAGGAGAAGGACTTCCACCAGGTTGGGATCAGGCTGAGGAGAGACTCCTCTTGAAGAGATGCTAATTTCAAATCTGAAAGGTTTCGAACCTCTCCTTACTGCGTAGGTATCCAGAAGGATGGGGTAGTGGTCAGAGGTGGGTTTAGGTCGTGCCATGGCATGCAATCCGGGAAAATGTTCCACCCAATTCAAGGATAAAAGAAATCTATCTAATTTAGAGATGGATGGTTTGGGTGCATGATTGGACCACGTGTAGCAACTTCCTTGAAGTGGGATGTCAAGGAGTTCATTCCGACTAATGAAGTCAGAGAAGACCCTCATACCCTGAGAGATAGTGGTGGAGGAATTCCTCTCAAAAGACCATCTTGTGATGGTAAAATCTCCTCCCATACACCAAACTGGGTGGGGTAGGGATGCTACTTGGTCCAATTCTGCCCAAAGTCGTTGTCCGCGGGGAGCTGAATTCGAGTCGTAGATGGCCGTAGATGGCCGTAAATTTCCAAGGGAAGCCGTCTGATGTACGTGAAAGGAGTACAGTGACAGAGAACTCCCCAATGTGGGAGGAGTTGAGGGTGTGATCTGAAGGGTTCCTGACCACCTAGATGCCCCCTGATGCCCCATTCGCTATCAGAGAGACCCACTGGCAGGGTCTTCTGCCCCACACCTGACATATGAGCTAGAGAGTGGGCTCTGGTAGTTTAGTTTCAATGAGAGCAAGTTTTAAGGTAAAGTCCTTGACAGCGTCCCTTTTGAACGACTGTCCCAAACCTCTTACATTCCACGTAAAAATCTTCATGGTTCGGGCGTGTGAATGGAGGAGGAGGCCAATCTAGAAGACCTCCTCGGAAGAGTGGTGATAATAGAGGTCGAGAGGTCATCTGCAAGCTGTCCCTCGTAGGAAATAGATGAAAACAAGTTCAAGAGTTCTCTCTGTCCTTTAAATCTCACCTTCAGCCGACTCTGCACGTTTGCAAGTAGAAATTTGTGAGCCGGTCCTTCAGGGTCATCATATTGGAAACCCATGATCCTGTACATTTCTTTCATTATGTCCTCTTCCCTGTTTTTTCCACCCCCCTCGACCTCCTCGGTGTTGTCGAAGGCCGAAGAGGGAGAGATAGGTGAACTTGGTGCCACGGTCGACTCTACGACTCTACTTTGGGGTCAGCCAAGGGAGGGGTTAGGTTGATGGGGTAGAGGTCTCATGGAGCCGTTTAAAGTCCTCATGGAACCGTTTAAAACACTAGTCGACATTCATCTCTCCAATCCAATGGTGAAAGAAGATAAGTCACTTGATATCGTTTGGGAGATGTGGAAATCAATAGCAAGTTGAAGGTTATTCCCTTCTCCCTATAAGTCATTATATTGCAATCACTTTGTCGGTCACCAATGCCAAATTATCCAAAGGCAGAATATGCCACATGAAATTCGCAAGTATGGGTTTAATTTTGGAAAGATTATGAAACATAATATGATATTTTTCTAGCTAGACCATGAACCTCGACAAGTTGGTTGATTTAGTTTCAATTATTTATCTAAGGAAAATAACTATTTTATCAAAAACCATATTAGGATCTGAGATGCTAGACTTTGCAAGAAACCATCTATGAATAGGATTTAGTCAACTAATTCCCATTATAAACATTTTAAATGACCAAATTTTGTAAAATAGAAAAGAAGCTTATGACTTAATGCAATGAAAAGAGGCTTACCAACAGCTCCGGATTGGGTCTTCTGCAACAAGTGTTCCTCAGCACGAGGAAATGCATCCAAGGACTTCAGCACTTGTAGCCTCCCCATGCCTATTGCTGCAGCAATAGAAGATGTTTATACAATTGATCATGACAAACTCATAAAAATTTAATGTTTGGAGAAGTACTTTGCAAAAATTATGATACATGGAACCAAACTCAGTGAATAGCATAAACACTACACTAGGAGGAAAGATACTGCTTTACGAGACCAACAATATTGCAAATCATGAAAATACAAATTTAGTAAAGTATCAAACAGAAACCATCATCTGTAGAATCCAAAACTTTTTTAGAGACGACTCAAAAAAATTACCATTCGTTATAAAATACACTTATTTTAATTTCTAAAATTTACATGCGGTTTATATAAAACATGTAAATTGCCCTTTGTGGGATTTGAACTTGCAAGTCTCCAAGCTTCTAGATTAAATTCATTGGTTCTACCAAAAGTCCAAAATAATTATCAGAGATGTTAGACATATTAATATATAATATTATCACTAAGAATATATAAAAACCAACACTTTAAGTTATAAAATAACAGAAACAAATATATTTTTATTTTCTTGCATAAAATAAATGATTTTTTTTTTTTAGAAAAAGGTTAATTAATAAATGTATATTATTAAGGTTTAAATTTTACTACTTTAAATAGTTTTACTTTTTATGTTCTTTAATTATTTATTTTTACACTAAATTTATATATGGATGATTATACGCATGTGTCGAGTCCATACTGGATTTTCGAGGCAACGTACTAGACACTCAAAACACCTACCAAATACAACACCCATGTCAGTGTCCATCTAAAACTGCATATAGGGCCTGTTTGATAACTGGAAGCAAGTTTATGAACTGTAAATTGGAATTTCCTCCTTGCTGGGAAGATATAAGTTATTGTAAGAAGTTCCTGCTTTTTGTGTTTGATAACCTCCTGGGAAGTTAAAGAAGTTCTTGGTTTCTGTGTTTGATAATCCCCTAGGAAGTTAAAGAAGTTCTTGGGCCTCCTCTATAGGGTTCCACTGGCTCATATTGCTATGGTAATCTATAGCAGTTATAATAAAGCCTCGTTAGGTTGATTTCTTTAAACTCGAAGGCACTAAATATTAAGCATAAATAAATAATAAAAAGTACAAGCCATTATTGTTCAAACATAAATAGAGAAATGCAGAGAAAGCCAGAACAAAGTACCACAATGAATTTTAGTAATCATTGGAAGCTCAAAGTATAATCCAATAACCAAGTTCTACAACAACGAGAATGCAGATCTATATCGTCTAGACACTTTAAAAAGAAACAACACAAAAAATTGTCATATAGAGCTTAAGGAAACTCAATGCGTCGAAAATGCCAAAACTGTACAAAGTAAAACCATCATAGAATTCAACATAAAAGATCAGAATAAGAATGCAATGACCACAATTCAACATGCTGAACTGTTTAGCATTTAGCACACAAAAGGTTCCCAAGGATGCAAAAAAAGACAATGTTGGAAATGTACATGCTCAACCAGAATCATAACCACCCTGTACTATTGAACCATAAATAAAGCATAACAAAAGAGAGCATAATAACAGAAATCTAATCAAATCCTATAAAAGAAAGCAAGATAATTAGTAATGGCCTATTCTTCAAGCATAGGTTTCACTAAGTTCAAGTGGTCTATAATTCAAATTCACATTCAAATAGAATATGGCAGGTATACACAATCAGTAAGGAGCTAAGTGGGCAATGAATAAACTAGAGAGATAGAAATAGATAAGTATCAAAAGAAGGAAATATCTCATATAAGAAGAGACCCAAGGTCTCATCTGCGGTTAAAGCAATGTCTTCCATTATGAGCCATCCCATATGAAATGTCATACTCAGAATATTGTCATCAAGTCCATCCCCAGCTAATGCTCTCTCTCTCTACACCCACATGTTGCATGAAAACATCTCACCTGATAACTTCACCTTCCCCTTAATGAGTAAATCACACTAACTATGTGATGCCATCATAATCATTACAGCCAATCTTATTGTTTCTTTCAAACCAAATACAGCTGAAGATCCTTACAGTAAATAACAGATAATAGAGTATTGCCACAATTTGCAGCATAATGAAAAAAACCTTCTCAATAACTCTGTAATAATTTTCTAAAGGGATAATGGATAAATTGATTTGTCATCCAAACGACATCCGAGCAATTTCTCAAATAAGGATGTGACATGGATTAGTTAAACAGAAATATAGAAAAAACGACAAACAACATTTTAATTAGCCATGAAAGTAAAGTTGTTCGCTTTGGAAATCAGTGTTCGATAAGAGCACTGAAACCAAATCCTCATTCATTACGAACCCGAAACCACCTTCCAATTTCCAAATTTGACTATGACCGTTCCCAGAAACTAAAGTTTCTTGACAGAAGTCCTACAAAACTAAAACCAATAATACTCATTTGATGCAAATAGTCTCTGAAAATTAGCATATGGGTGTCAACTTTCTTCTCTCTTTTGGTGTCATGGCATGGACAATAGTCCCTATGCTTGGTATCACAGAACTCGAAGAAGTTGGGGATGGTGGTCTCATTGTCTGATAGGTTTGGGAGTGAAGGATCAGAGTGGTGATGTTCAAAGTCCAAAAAGGGTCCAGATTGGTGAAGAGTAAGGAGATCCAGCCTTACCCCATTACCAAAACAATCTGCAGTTGAATTGGAGCACGAGTTTAGGAGAAGAGAATATGGTTTTTTGTGGAGATTTGAACCAAGCAAGTAGGAGAAGAGGCAGAGGAGAGAGATACAGGAAAATATAAATTGACGGATTACCCAAGCTAATCTGAACCAAGTAAGTCTTTTTTTTTTCTAATCCTCTTTTTCAAATAAACTATTTTTGAGAGTGGGTCCTCTAAATAATATTCGATTTGCAGCTCCAAAAGATTTAAATCTTTTGCATTTGTCCAAAATTGAGTTTGAGGGTTGAGAATTCTTGGAGCTCTAATTCAATTTTTTCAATTTTTTATGGGATTGTTTCCATAATAAAAACAATATAACAAATTTTAAGGCTTGCATGAACTAGGGTGATGCTAATGTAGCAATCTCACAGTGAATCAAGCTAATCAAAATTACAGCAGTCTGGAATGAAGTATACTGATTCCAACAAGAAATCATGCAGACAACCAACTAGCTCTCTAATATCTTATCATGCAGACAACCAACAAGCACTTAATACAGATAGATTGTCAGGGAACTTATTGTCAAGCAATCAAAACAATCAGTTCAACCCTGAATCTAGATTTACAACATAGAAAAATCATGAAATAAACCTTTTGCATTGCCTTAGAACTCGATTTACAACATAGAAAACTATTAAACAAATTTAATACTACATTCAACATAGGAAATTATACAAAAATAAGTAGATTTAACCCTAGAAATGTTTTTATAGGGTTTCCTCCAAAACAAACCCTGAGAAAAATGTTGTTAATAGAGAAATCCGAAATTAGCAAGAAAAAAGAAGAAAAAAATGCAAATTCAACAAAGGACTCACTGATTGGAGGTACTTGTTGAGGTTGCAAGGCCGAGAATAGTACTGGGCGAGAGGCTGCCTTTACTGGGAAGAGAGAGCGAGAGAAAACTTTCGCAGTGGAGCTGCTGTTTTGCTGAGCGGCTAATTGCGAAGAGAGGGGTGGCTGAGCGGCTGAGTAAACCCTAGGGCACAATTTTATCGGGGGCAAGGTTTGATATAAACTTCCCTTTTCAAGTTCCGACCTTTTAGTCGGAACTTTTTACATACAAAGCTGGGAACATGAACAGTGATAGGTAAGTTCTTTATTTACCTTACTGTTTTTTATCAAACACAGAAGATGAACAGTAATGCCTTAGTTCTAACTTCCAGGAAGCAACTTCCTGTTATCAAACATGCCCATAAAGACCTTTGAACCAACCCCCTGAAGCTCTAGTATGGAAAAGCTTTAAAATGTGTGGTTTCTTATCCAAATGAAATTGACATTCAATCGTGGATTTCAAAATCAAGTATGGAATCAGCTGTTTTTGTGAATGTTGGGTTTCAATTGATCAGCACTAAAATGTGGTATTAGAACCACCATTGATTCACCCATGGTCAAGTGGCCTCCCTAGACTAGAACATGGGATTCTAGTCGGTTTGAACTTTGAAGGCAAGGATGGCCTTCCAAATTGACTCATAATCCGCCATCAAAAAGTGCTTGAGGTGTTCACATCCCTTGGCTAACAAAATTGTCAAAGCTTTGGTACCAGATACGCGGCTGTTTTACTCAAGCCAGATAACCCAGATGGCAACCATGGTTGGGGTGGAAATAGACGCAGAAAATACTCGTTGGATGGACTTATGCGTCACCCAATATCAGTCAAAAGCTTGAAAGTAGGTTACCTCAGATTTTGCCTCCCACCGTACAATGCAGGAATACATAATCACTAGTCTCTTCTGCAACCTTGCACATTGTGGTTGTTCAATACATGGAATATCCTTGCAAGTAAATAAACTACACATGTTCCTCTCAAAAGCATTAACCAGTTGAAAGCTTGCATTTTTGAGGAGCTTAGGTAGTTAGTTAGGCTCTGCTAATGATGCTTGAGTTTGGGGAGAAAAGGAGGTGGAGTGGTAGAAGGAAGAAACATAGAACTTTATAGCCCGATTAAATCACCTTATAACTATTGTTCAAAAAAAACGGACCGCCCAGCGCCTTGGCAGTCCAAAAGGCCTGAGCGCATAGCCCAGACCTAAGTGGTAAAACTAGGCGGTCCGTCCCTGAGCAGCCACCTAACGCCCAGCCTTGGGCGGCCGCCCATGGCTTGCGCCTCGCCCAGAGGCAGAAAAAATGATTTTTTTTTTTTTCGTTTTGTTATTTTGAAAGATTTAAAGGTTAAGAATGATGGCTTTTAGGTTCATTTGAACCCTAAACCCACAAGAAGCCCCTTAAGACTAAAAAAAACCTCCAAAAAACTCCATTTCATTGGATCGATCATCGAATCATCGAAGTGTTTCTCAAAGTTTGGAGTTCAAGCAACCAAAGTAAGTGCATTTTTTAGATTGCTTGCTTTATTTTGAGATGTCTTCTTCAGGAGTTAGTCAGAGTAGAGATCCAGGTTGGAAATATGGATACAACCCGAATCCAAATGACAAAAATTGCGTTAGATGCAATTTTTGTGAAAAAGATACAAAAGGAGGCATAAACTGGTTTAAGAAACGTCTTGCCGGTATTAAGGGGGATGTTGCCCCATGTAAAAATGTTCTTGAAGCTGTCAGAGGGAGATTAAGCAATTTTTAAGTTATGTAAAACAAAAACAAGAACAAAATCCTTGTCATAGATCTATTTCTGCTACTCTTAAAAAAAGTGATCCGGGTTGGAAATATGGATATAACCCAAAACCAAATGATAAAAATTGTATAAGGTGTAATTTTTGTGAAAAATATACCAAAGGGGGTATTAGCCGATTCAAAAAATACCTTACTGGTGTTAAAGATAATGTTGCTTCTTGTACAAAGGTTCTTGAAGCAGTTTGAGATGAGATTAAACATCTTTTGAATTTTGAAGAACCAAAAAAGGATGAAAATAGCCTTGTTCTATGGAAGTATCTTCTCCAGCTTCTAGTCGTCAGAGTGGTGATCCGGGTTGGAAGTATGGTTACATCCCGAATCCAAGTGATAAAAATCGTATTAAATATAATTATTATGGAAAGGATACCAATGGGGGCATTTGCCGGTTTAAAAAACACTTTGCTGAAATTACGGGAGATGTTGCCCCGTGTAAAAATGTTCCTGAGGCTACCAAGGAGGAAATTATACAATATTTGAGTTCAAAGAATCACAAAAAGAAGGGTACAGCAGCCAAGACTCCTAGGGCCTCATCTGTACAGACTATACATACTAGTAAGAGGAAGGTAGAAGAAGAGGAGGAGGAAGAGGCAGATTCAGAAGAAACAGAGGAGGATAAGCGTTATATTGAAGAGAGAGATAACTCTGATGATGATAGCCTCGACTTTGATGCATATGATGAAGCTTGCGCTATTGATATTCCTTCTGATGATGATTGAAGACTCTTGCCTCTAGGTGCTGAGTGTTGAGTGTTGAGTTTGTTAACTGTTGTGTTGAGTCCGTTGACTGTTGTGTAACTTGTGTTGAGTCACGAGTGTTGATTTTTGTTACACTGTATATTTTCTAGATTTCTGTATATTTCTGTTGTGTTGGGTGTTAACTTTTATATCACTTGTATGGTTTTACAGTTTACTATTTTAACAATATGGATTATCAAAATTCTCTTCTCGATTTTCTTTTTTTTTTTTGTTTTTTTTTTTTCAAGTTGGATTGTTGGAATATGGTATATTGGGATTTTTATTTTTTTCAACTGGTCAGCCGCCGAGGTTCTGGGCACCCGCCTAGTGCTTTTTGATACACTGCTTATAACTGCTATTTCTCAGCAGGGACACGGATTGTACAAGCGAAAAGGCCTCTGTGAGCTCCTAAATTTTGGACTCCCTAAGAGGTCCCTTGAAGGTCACGTTCCATATGGTAAAGTCAGGTGCTCTGGTCAAACAAAAATGGCAATCCATATGCCAAGTGCTCAGTCAAAGACATTTCGTCTCCACCTGCCACAAACACACCCCAAGAAGGGAAATATTACAGTGTTTGAGGCAATGGATACCAAATCCAACATCTCGTTTGGGTTCAGAAACATTCTCCAAATAAAATAAGTGAAATTTGTGCAGTCTAGTGCCCCCAGATCATGGAAACTTCTTCCTTAAGCTCTCTTTCCAAAAGAACTTCTTCATCGACTTCTTCCTGAAACTTCCTCTGGGGCTATGTATGATAAGAATATAAGGAAACTACATCATATGCCTTTTTAACCCCACATGGACTTGATAGCAGTCTAATGACCGCAATACCAACTAAACACCCCGAAATTGGTCAAAATGAATTCCATGTTCTGCAAACATGCACTAACTTTTAACGTTAACTTCCTCAAGAAAAACATGGACTAATTTTATCGCACTTGAATAAATAATGCTCCAAAAGATGGAACACAACACTAACAACAATTGGAGATAAAATGTTCAAGTAACTTTTTCTTGAGAGAGAAAATGTTCAAGTAACTTAATAGAAGATCACTCACTTTTTTGGCAGAGAAACAAAGAATAAGAAGAATTTCATGTTGAGATTGGCCAAGGATAAATAGATAAACAAATCAACCACAAATTAAGTTAAAATTCCACCAGAGATAGAGAGAAATGCATATAGTGAGCGGCAAAATGGAGAGAGATGGGTATCTGTGGGGTAGAGAGAGGGCAGGGAGTTGCAGGATGAGAGAGAAAAACGTGGACAAGAGTACAAATCAAGGAGATAAGAAAGCCCACATGGTGCTCATTCATTGTCTCTCATCTCATCAACAAATCTAGATAACGAAATATAGAAAATGCGACCAGTGAGTACTTAAGCAACACATTCATTATTTGCATATCATAAGTACCCAGCTCTCAAAAAACTCGCAAACACTTGAAGAATACTAAATATAACCACCAAAAAGTTTTTCCATAGGCAATTCTCCAAATTTCAGTAACAAATCATAGAAAAACACATGTATAAGAACAAAAATAAATAAACAAATAAAATCGCTAAATCAGTAGATCATATCAGTTGGATAACCCAATACAATTGGGAGAAAAATATCCATATAAAAACAAAAACAAAAAAAAAAAAAGAAAAACAGTTGGATGCAAATTAAGAAAACACCCCAAAAGGAAGAATGAGAAGAAAAAAAAAAAAAGCATTAAACAACTTGAATGGAAGAAAATTAATGAAACACCATGATGGGATAGAAATTTGGTTAACAAGAATTCACCACACGCTATATAAAACTTCAAATAATTGAGGAAAATAACCAGCAAAAATATTCAATAGTAACCAAAACATCAACCAAGATGAAGACAATATGAAGCCCACACTTTCCACAAGCAAAACACATGAATCTCAAGGCCAGGCGAGGTCATATACCTCTAAAGTTCTCTGAACAGAATCTAAGAAGACCAAGGATATCAATGAATAAATTAAACAATACCGTTGAAAAACAAAAAAAACTTAACTCAGTAGATTGTGGAAATAAGAACAAAAAAGGCACGTCCATTGGTGGTTTTTCCATATATGAATCGAAAAATCATTGAGTATTGTGAAAAACTATGCAGAATCGGGATGAATAGAGGAGAGAGCACTCACTGTGATTCTCTACGAGTGCGAGAAAACCAGCGCCAAATTTTCTTGCGTTCTATACCTGTGTTTGATCGGTTTCAAGGAGGCAGAAAACTGAGTTTTAGAGAGAAAGAGGGGAGAGAGAGATTGAAGCGTTTGAGAGAGAGAGAGAGGCCTTGAAACGAGAAAAGAACAAAACGAAAAGGACAAAAGGTCAAAGGGAAACCTTTCTATGCCCCCTCATCCAACCGTCCATTCTGAGTCCCAATATATCTCCATGCTATTTTATTTTTTATTTTTCTTTCTATAAATTATTTCGACACTAAATTTTAAGCATGCATTCCTCTATTAAACTTGTACTAGCGAAAAATATAAAAAAAATATTTTAAATGAAATAAAATATCTTGAAAAGTTTCAAAAGGTATTTTTAGTCATTATATTTTATCAAAAAAATATTTTTAATATTTTTTATAGGTGCATCCAATGAAAAGATGGCACGTACCAAATTTCATATTCACACAATTTGTATAAAAAAACTAAAAATAAAATACATTGAGACGACAGATCTAAAATCAAACGATGAATAACTCTCTTGATCAAACTTGGACGGCTGGATGGTAAGAGGAGGATAGATCTTCTATGCTACAGGGAAGCATATAAACCTTTCCTGGTTTATATATTTCACCTACAGTATATAAGATCTATGCTTCTCCTGCAGCATTAAACTTATATACTTTTCCTTATCTAACCGTCCCTATTGAATGGAGGGTTAAGATTGTCCCAATCACAATGTCACGTCTCTAAACCATTTTATTGTTAATTTTTTGTCTATAAATTATTTTGACAGCAAATTTTGGATGTCCAATCCTCTATTAAACTCGTAGTAGTGAAAATTATAAAAACAATATTTTCAATAAAATAAAATAACCAAAATAGCACGTTCCAAATTTCATGTTCATAAAATTTGTATAAAAAAAACTAAAAATAAAATACTATGAGGCGTTGGATCTAAGATCAAACGGTGAGTGGCTCTCTTGATCAAATTGGACAGCTGGATGGTAGGGGAAGCATAGATCTTCTATGCTGAAGGGGAAGTATAGAAACATTTCCTATAAGTAGGGTAAATCCTCACTTTATAACCCATCAAAAATGGCAATTGTCTAAAAACCTTCAATTCGATCATCTAAGATTAAACATTATAGTTGTAACATGATTTCAAGTTCTAAAAATAGTGTATATTGCAAAATCATCTAGACCATCTATTCCCCTTGGGTGTTAATAGATATGCAAAATTTGTATTATTCTTTAAGTTTCGAATTTATTGTTGGTGTTGGAAAGTGATTTTAAAGCATCATAAAGAATTCTGATGTCCAAAATGCTTTTTGGATGAAGATTTAAGGCAAGGCTTTATTTTGTTTTCATTAAGCCTATGCCCTGCAAAAATTTCATCCATACATTATTATGGCAATACATATTACAGTGTAGTGTATGAATTGGTCTAGTTAGAGGTGATCAAATATAATTAGGTGTTATACTTTGATCCATGTAATGATAGCAATCGTCAGTATCATTGTCCCGATTTTATCATAACTATTTAGGTTGGTTGCATGAATCATGTTTCATCATTTCGCTCTATAAGTGTCATACCTTCAATCAAACCATAAATCATTCTATTTATTTCATGATACTCTATCCACGTCTTTTCAAGCTTTTCTATTGTCTTTTTTAAGTCTTCTACTTGAACCAGATCACCCCTCCTAACTAGTGTTGTTTGAAGTTGACGTTGCACATGGCCAAATCACCTAACTCTACCTTCTATCATTATATCGTCGATTACAACTATCTACAAGTTCTCTCAAATATATTTATTCAAAATTATATTATTTATTGTCTTTGTGCTCATCTATTTAATTATAACAAACCTATCCACTTAATGGAGAAGACGATGAAGAGCGGATAGCATCATGGAGCTAGTACTTCAATGGTGATGCTAGGATAGTTTCTAGTTTAAAATGAGGGAAAGCATACTATGATCCATAGTACCAATGGGAAGTTTATGGTTATCTATATCCATCACTGTCCTATCATTTGATGAAAATGATAGGTCTACATAGGATGGACCACTTGGACCATTCTTATTCTTGTGGGTTACACTTTCTATCCATCATCTTTCATTCATCAAGTTTATGATAACTGAAAATTATAGTTATAAATCTTCTATGCTCATATAGATCATGGTGTACCTTACTGTGTACCTTACTGTGTTATTTGAACATTACCCGTTTGACCTGGTTTTGAACAATAATTTGACCTCGAAACAGCCTTTAACCATATGGACTACAATGAATGATTTTAGCACTTGGTGGATTACTGCATTTTTATTAGAAAGAAAAGATTTCACAAAGGACCAAAACAATAAACTACTAGAAATACAAAGCCTATCCAAAGAAGCTCCTCGCTTCAGCAAGCCATCTGTAACACCATTTGCCTCTCTCTATCTATGCCTATGCCTGAAAGAAATCTCTAACTGATTACACAAATCCATTACCTTAATTCAAATAGATCGCAAATTCTAAGGTCGTCTAGACTCCTCATTGCACCAATTAATCATGTTCAATGAATCTCCTTCTACTATACATAAAACGCAATAGAATCTGCGATCCATGAAGAAGAGCAGGTAGTTTGCTGAAACGCAATCACAAGGCCCATAACAGAAGAATAAAAGATCGCCATTACTGTTTCAAAGCATGCCAACAATACTTGCTGGTCTTGGAGTACCAAGCAAACTGCCATCAAAGTTACATCCTCCCAACGGAGGTTCCCATCTTTCTTTCAGTCTAACTTTAACAACTCTTTGATTAATCAATTTTGGAGAGATTAAAAACCACGTCAATTTTGGATACCCCTTTCCTTAGTGATTGAAAACCAACTCCACAAGAAAGTAGGCGAAGTTCTCATCGTCCATTATGGAAAAATGATTTTGAAATATGAAAAATTGAAGTTCATGGTCATTTGGTGTACAAGTAGTATCCAGGCATTGAGAAATAACTACAGAAGAAGAGAGATTGACACTTCAGATAAACAAGACTTGGAATTTGGTATAGCTACCAAGGGATAGAAAGGTGGTTGGTCGAAAATGGTTGTTTAAGATAAAAAATAGGGCGGATGGCAAACTTGAAAAGTACCAAGCAAGATAGGTGAAAATAATTGCAGGTTTTGGCAAATCAAGGGTGTGCTTTTGCATAATGGTGGAGATTATTGAGACAGTGATGCAAATCACCTCTATTTGGCATTCCCTCTTTTATTTAGGGGTTTTTTGTTAATCAAAATGTGTTTTATGAAGCCCCATAAAGTGTATTGAAGAGAGAGAAAACATATGAAAAAGTGTAGAGGTGTTTATAGAGGCAGAGATTGGGGACTTTTGCAAAAACTTTAGCATTGTTGTGCCTTTGTATTGGGCCGGATTGCATTCACATTTTTTTTACGACTACGGCGTTGGTTGATGGTGATGCAGAAAGGAGTTGATTGACGGTGATATTATGGTATTGTGGAAGAAAAATCATTTTGAGTTTTCTTTTCCATTATAATGTAATTTTTATAGAACCCACAAACTTGTAAATTTCTTCTATTGATAATGAATGCATCATTGCCCATGGTCTATAGATGTTGCCAATGCCCTAGGCATGTAGTTGTTGGCAATTTTGGTGAACCATGTAAAATGGTGTGCGCCTCTTGGTTTTGATTGTGTTGTGGTTTGGTGATTTCTCATTTTACTTGCTTTTTGTTATTTCTATATATTTCCCAAATTTATTACACATATTATAGTTATTATGGTTTTTAGGGATTCTATTTTGATATTGGATTTGTTATTGTTGGGAGCTCACCACATCAAGTAGATATCTAGGTTATCCCTATTTGCCAAAATAACATAGCAACAAGAAACGGGAACAAAGAAAGTGATGATTAATTATGGTGGATCAATTCACACAACGCTTGTAATTATGATATACTTCAAAGGAAGCCACTACACAATGCCAATAAGCGAAAATGAACAGTGTTTTATTCCATAGGCTTAGCGCTGTCCAATTTTTTTGAACGGCATGGATATAAAAGACCACCGCAACGGACATAGTAGGTCTGTTGTGGTTTTTTTTCACTCAATAAAATACGGGCAATCGCCATGGTTCTGTAGATATGTGGCGGGGCGAAATACTATTCAATTTCACCTATAGGCTTTTTTAAAAAAATTTCTACTTCAAATACTAAAGAAGCTAATTTCATCTAAGAAACACTGACAAACAAAGAAATGGGGAGCTGAAAAGGTCTATAATGATATCCATGCCTCTTATTTGCAGTTCACGATGTGGAATCCAAACTTCTCAGGTACATATTTTCTGAAGAATTCATGAAGCCACTTGTTTAAAAATCTAGCAACATAAAAAGTTTGATATGATTGGAGACATATGGCCCATTTACAAGAGTTGGATTGATACCAACTCATATACTTAAAGAAGTATTTAAGACTGGAAAAAGATAAAATAAGGCTTAGGCTATGAAAAAAGGTAAGTAGAGCAAAATTTGTAGCTCCAATGGTCGCAAACTTTTAGGGCTCGTTTGGATATGAGGAAATTAGGAATATTCGATATTTGAAATTTAAAGAAATCTATGGATTTTCAATATCAAGGATTTTTGTCATAGATTTTTTAAATCTCTTGTTTGGATAAACTATACAAAATTCATAGATTCCTTACAATTACTTTTATGTCCATTGTTTGGTGACAAAACTTGATCCAATTTCTCTCCCTAAAATTTTTATATGTTTTCTCTCTCTAAAACTCAAAATTTGGGATAGTGTCTATAAAAATTTTGAGAAAGTTTCTCTCTCTAATATTTGATATGGTTTTTCTCTTTGAAATTTAATATACTTTCTATCCAAAATTTAAAATTTGAAATTGTCTATCTAAAAATTCTGAGATAATTTGTCTCTCTAAAGTTTTTAGTTGCTTTACTCTCGCTAAAATTTAATATAGTTTCTCTTTCTAAAATTTTAAGATACTCTCTCTCTAAAACTTAAAACTTGAGACAGTTCCCCTCTTTAATAATTTTGAGATAGTTTCTCTCTATAAATATTTTTAAGCAACTTCTCTCTCTAAAATATGATATAGTTTTTCTCTCAAATTTTAAGATACTTTCTCTTTCTAAAAGCTAAAATTTGAGATAATTTCTCTCTAAAAATTTTGTAATACTTTCTTTTTCAAAAAAAAATTATATATTTTCTCTCTATAAAATTTGATATAGTTGCTCTCTTAAATTTTAAGATGCTTTATCTCTCTAAAACTTCAAGTTTGAGATTATTTTTCTCTTTAAAATTTTGAAATAGTTTCTCTCTTTAAAATTTGATATAGTGTCTCTCTAAACTTTGATATACTTTCTCTCTCTAAATTTTAAAATTTGAGATACTTTCTCGCTCTAAAACTTAAATTTTGAGATAGTTTCTCTCTCTAAATTTTTTTGGGATAGTTTCTCTCTCTAAAAATTTCGTGCACTTTCTCCATTTAAAATTTGATATAGTTTATCTCTTGAAAATTTTAATGTATTATTTCTCTCTAAAACATAAATTTTGCGATAGTTTCTCTCTCCAAAAATTTTGAGATAGTTTTTCTCTCTAAATTTTTTTAGGTAGTTTGTCTCTCTAAAATTTTATTTAATTTCTAATTCTAAAATTTTCATGTATTTTCTCTTTCTAAAATCAAAATTCGAGATAGTTTCTCTCTAAAACTCAAAATACGAGATAGTTTCTCCCTCTAAAAATTGAGATATTTATCTCTCTAAATTTTTGTTTGGCCTTTCGCCTTTCAAAAATTTGTAAGTTTCTCTCTAAAAGTTTAAGAATACTTTCTCTCTCTACAATTTTAAGAATACTTTCTCTCTAAAACTTAAGATTTGATATACTATTTGTCGCTAAAATTTGTTGAGATAGTTTCTATTTCTAAAACTTTTTAAGTACTCTATCTAAAATTCGATATAGTTTTTCTTTCTAAAAATTAAAATATGAGATTGTTTCTCTGTCTAAAATTTTTGAAATAGTTTCCCTCTCTAAAAAATTGAGGTAGTTTCTCTCTCTAAAAATTTGCATGTACTTTCTCTCTTTAAAATATGATAGTTTCTCTCTAAAACTTAAAATTTGATATAGTTTATCTCTTTAAAATTTTGAGATAGTTTATCTCTCTAAATTTTTTTGGTACTTTCTCTCTCTAAAATTTTAACATACTTTATTTCTCTAAAATTTTAACATACTTTCTCTCTAAAAGTTAAATTTGAGATAGTTTATCTCTCTAAAATTTTGAGATAGTTCATCTCTCTAAAAAAATTTGGTACGTTCTCTCTCTAAAATTTTAACATGGACAATGATTGTATCATATTATAATGCAATCACACTTGTAGAAAACAATGTTTATGGTATTTGTATGAAGTCCTACCCTCCCCCTTATCCAACCGTCCATTTTTTAATGGACGGTTGGATAAGGGGAGGATAGAACTTCTACGGTTTAGGGGGAACATAAAAAGTTTTCTTATTTGAAAGTTTTCTATATTCCCCCTACAACATAGAAGTTCTATCCTCCCTCTACCATCCTGCCGTCCATTTTTTATCAAGAGAGTCACTCACTGTTTGATCTTAGATCCGACGTCGCAAAACTATTTTATTTCTAGTTTTTTTAATGCATTTTTTCTGAATATGAAATTTGGTACGTGCCATCTTCTCATTGGGGTGCAACTATAAAAAATATCAACAATAATTTTTTGATAAAAAATAATGACCAACATACCCCTTTAAGCATTCAGGGGTATTTTGGTCATTTTATATTATTGAAAATATTTTTTCTTATATTTTTCATTAGTGCGAGTTTAATATAAGAATGGACGTCCAAAATTTGGCATCAAAACAATTTATAAAAAATAATTTATAAAAAATAATTTATAAAAATAAAATAAAAATAAAACAGTGTAGAGACATGGCATTGTGATTGGGGCAATCTAAACCCTCCATTAAAAAATGGACGGTTGGATAAGGGGGAGGATAGAATTTCTATGTTATAGGGGGAACATATAAAGCGTTCTCATTTGTATGACCCAAAATTTTACACACACACTCTCTTCATCTCAATAATTAATCTCAAAAAAAAAAAATTCAATTTGAATCCTTGATATAGTCAAAATTGGCCCCCTCCAACGAATCTAAGCCGTTCATTTGGTTAATTTCAAGATCTTAGCCGTTACAAACTCAAAATCATTTTTTTTCTTTTTTAACATTGTTCATCTAATAATAATAAAGGCATCTAAAAAAAATGGAAAAAAAAAATCCTTCTAAGGCGTAGATCTAAGCATCTTATCAAAATGATCGGCCTATGTTAATTGGGCTAAAAAAATACTTTCTAATTTCCATTTTCCAATTTTTCTGTTTTTGTGATTGTTCATTAGAATGAAAAGAGTGCGTATTTCAAATTTTGGATCAAACAAATGGCCTTAATATGGTTTTTGAAGATTGTTGCATTATACTACGATACAACCGTTGCATGAAATACCCTTTTAACATACGTTCTCTCTCTAAAATTTTAACATGCTTTCTCTCTCTAAAAGTTAAAATTTGAGAGTTTTTCTCTTTAAAAATTTTGAGATAGTTTCTCTCTTTAAAAAATTCAAGTACTTTCTATCTCTAAAATTTTCATACGCTACCAAATGCTCCCTATGTTCTAGGTCGAGGGAACCAATGAGTAAAATCCATCGGCATTGGAAATGCAAAAATACAGGTTTTGGTGTGAAAATAAAATCATGGAAAAGTAAGTCTTATTTTCATGATTTTGATTTTTCTGATTTTAAGTATCCTAATCATTAAACAATCAAAACGGTGGATTTTGACAATATCCAAGATATTAGAAATCCATATCTTAAAATCCATTTACCCAAACAGGCACTTAAATTAATCTTCTCTTTGACTATTTTGGATGTGCAAAAAAAAAAAAAGAAGCAAGGATTTCAATCCCCCAAAATACAAGGATTTTAATCCCCCAAAATAATCTATCTTGTAATGAATTATCTAGGTCATCCATTTTCTAGTATCATAGATCCACACAATCTAGACCAAAGCTTCAAATTTCATAATCAAAAGTATAAATAGATTTCCAAGCCATCATGGGGTTTGCATGTCAAAAATGCATTTTCCGGTGAGGTTTTAAAGCGAGGCTTTACTTTTCTTATCAGAGCCTTGTAGAATCTTCATCCTTTAAGATTTGGCATGAAAATTTTGAACCAATTTGACAAATATTTCCACACCGGTTTCCAAGAAATCTCTTAAGCATTTGCAAAGGATCAAACAATGCTTGCAGCTAGAAACTTTCCTGGTGACTTATCCTTCTCTTAAAATGAGGAGCATTGCCCATAATGTAGTCGTCTTAACATGCTGGACTTGTTTCTTATAGCAGCAGAGCTTTATACAACATTCCAAAAAGAAATAAAAAAAAAAAGCAGTAAAGCGCCTATGCATGTTCCCTTCTTTCTCTATGAGCAGCAATATCTGATGGATAGGGACATGCTCATTTCCAAAGTACAGTAACTTGAAAAAAGCATTGCCATAAGCCATATATCAATATGCGCAAGAGCCATGTAAATCATATTACGCAAAGAAAATGCCTTTGACTAAGCCATATCATCAAAAGGGTTCCATAAATGCATCATCAATGGTAATCCATAAGAAAAATGCATAAAATGCCTCATCAATAGTAATACATAAGAAAAATGCAGGTGAACTCGCTTGCCTATAATCTGGTACAACTTTTAACCGTCCAAATTTACAGGGAAAACATTACAAACTACACAACCAATTATAATCGGATCCCAATGGAAGTATGTTGCATGTAATAACAGAATTGAGGAATGTACTTTTCAATGCTTTGCAGAAATGATTTCAATAATGTGCATAACCACAACAATTATAAGAATACATACACAATAGAGAACGGAATAATGACCACCAATTTGAACAAATAAACAAATTGAATTGTGCAAGCAGAAATTCTTTTGTCGCAATGAGCAGGAACAATTGGCCACTCCAGCTGCATCTTGTCAATGAACTTTGAGCCGCCAATGTCCATATCAAATACTCAGCATTTCAGTCATCAACTTCAGAGTTGAAGACGAAACTCGGGAATGCCGTAGTGAGGTCCCTACATGAATATTGCATGTTAGAAATAGTAATAGGCCATGTTCTTTTCAATTATCAGACTGAAATGCAGCTAACTGAAGAATGACATTAAATAAACAAATTTTCTTTTTGATGGAATGACTCTCTCAACTAATAAGAATAATCTGATGCATAATTGGGTTAACAAAAAAATTGTGTTGTGTTTGTATGGTGTTTAAAAAATTTAAATCAAAATTAAACTCCTAAGGGAGGAGGTTTTGTAATGAGAAGAATGGGTCTTGAAGACCCAGATGACTACCCCTTTGGAAGGTCAGAAGCACCAAAGTTGTATTTATTTTTAATCACCCGCTGCCAAAATTGGCATTCAAAGGTGGCATAGCACCACCACCACCACCACTTATCAAATACTCTAGTGCTGCTGGGGCTACCAATAGGACAGACTCGGGCTAGCTACACTTAGGTAACTATTCAAGGGCGAAGTAGAATTCATGATAGAAAGAAAAGCATTTATTAACCATAGTGGAGAATAACATCATCCACATGAGATGTGACATCACCCAAATGGAGCATTAAATGCCACTAAATTCATATTTTAATATCTATTATACCCCTCTTAATGATGAAAATACCCTTGGTCAAAAACAATTTGTATTACAAAGCAAGGGTAATTAGTGTCCAATAATGTTGACTACATTTAGTAAATACTCACATGTATATGTACCCTAACATAATATTTTATCTATATATATATATATATATGTATATATATATATATATATATAGAAACTCTCC